AAGAGATCAAATTCAACATATTACATTCCTGCAGAAAAACCTCTGCTTATCTTTGTCCAGTAGAGGGCACCATTCTCCACCAGAATTAGAATTGGAATAGAACTAGGTCAGCATATTGTTCTGTTAAATTCACCACTACCTTACACACACTGCATGAAAGAGGGGGAATCAAAATATGAATTTCGATTCGTGTGAATCAATTCCTCTGAAGAATGGTTGCAGGAATTGAGTACTATATTTTTCGAAGTATAAGATGCACGGGAGTATATAAGATGCACCAAGGTTTTGAAGAGGCAAATAAAAAAAAAAGTTTTCACTCTGCAAACCTCCCCAAAACAGCCTGTTTTATGTGAAAACGTTTCCGCTTTTTTTTCCCCCAAAAAAGGACATGAATAGCCTTTAGGATGCTTGTAGAGTGTTTGGTGGGGGGGGGGCAAAAATGAGCAAAAAATGAGCCCGTTTTTTTGTCAAAAAAAAGGGCATTAGGAAGCTTATAGAATGAGCAGGGGGGCAGGACAAAGGGGAAATTGAGCAAAATACGGGCCATTTTTTGCTTATTTCTGCCCTCCCAAGCCCCCAGGAAATATCTGAAAGCCTCCTACAAGGTATGCAGAGCCATTTTGGTGAAGGGAGCGGTGTTTCAGGAGGCCAAAAATGCTGCATTCAGTGTATAAGACACACCCAGATTTTCAGCCTCTTTTTTGAAGGAAAAAGGTGTGTCTTATATTCCGAAAAATATGATATGTTTAGTACAATGAAATTAATTATTAGGAGTGACCTGATAGCAGTGTTCCAATATTTGACACAATTAAGAAAGGATCAACCTATTCCCCAAAACACCTGAAGACAGGACAGGAAGCCATGGATGAAAACTGAACATGGAGAGAAACTACTTGAAATTAAGGGGAAACTTTCCAATGGTGAGAACAATTAACCAGTGGAACATTTTGTCTTCAGAGATTGTGGGTGTTCCATCACTGGAGCTTTTGGACAACCACTTGTCTAAAGTGGTATAGGGCTGTGATGGCAAACCTATGCCACAGGTGGCATGCTGAGCCCTCTCTGTGCGCCAGCGTAACTTCGAGACCGCCTACTGCCACATATCTCCCAGCGGCCAGTAAGATCCCATAGATTGGGCCTCCTTCGGATGCCGTCAGCCAGACAGTGTTGGCTGGCGGACCCCCGGAGGAGAGCCTTCTCTGTGGCTGCTCTGACTTTTTGGAATCAGCTACCCCCAGAGATCCGGACCTTACCCATTCTCATGGCCTTCAGGAAAGCTGTAAAAACCTGGCTTTTCCAGCAGGCCTGGGGCTGCTGACCTCACTGTTCAGGTCCAGCCCCGATTAGAATGAATGCATGTGGTTTTGTGTTTTTAAACTGTCTTTTTTCTTGTTTTTTTCCTTTCTCTTTTTTTTCTTTATATATACTTTATTTGTATGCCGCCCTTTTCCCTGGGGGGACTCAGGGCGGCTCACAATTGAAGGGAGGGGAAAGACAGACTTCTTTTGTAAGCCGCCCGGAGTCTTTCGGGATTGGGCGGCATATAAATTTTGATAATAAAATAATAAATGATAATAAAATGCAAGCCATTGCCCCAGCTCAGGTCCACTGTGAATGTGTGCGTGCCTCCTGCCAGCCAGCTTATTTTTTGGGTCTCTGCCATGCATGCATGGGGGAGGGAGCATGCGGGAGATGCACATGTATGCACAGCAGGTAGGAGGTCATGCATATATGTGCGGGGGTGGGAGAGAGCATGGGAGAACAGAGCGACCTGTTTTTGCTCCCAGGAGGCTGAAGGGAGGTCTATTACACCCAAAATGGGACGGGGGTGTCGGTGCTTGCACAGGGTGAATGCCGGGGTCACGTGAATGGGCGGAGGCGCGGGGGTTATAATGCACACATTGCATTATGGGTGCGTGCATGTGTGGGGGCTACATATGCGCTTTCTGCATGCAATGACAAAAAGGTTGGCCATCACTGGTATAGGGTCTCCTGCTTGAGCAAGGGCCTGGACTGGAAGATCTCCAAGGTGGCTTCCAATTCTATTATTCTGATATATCAAAATGGTGGTTCTGACCCAGAAATCCCAAGCCCCTTTTCTGCATGCACTGGGCAATGTGATGCGTAATAAAAGGTCAGAGCTTCCATAGCAGGGTCACAATTGCCTTCTTGACACAGCTGCCCCTGCTGAGTAGGAACTCTGACTGGGCAATTATCCACATGACCTGGGGAATATGCATGTTTGGATTTATAAAAATCCATCAAAAGCAGGAAAAAAAATGGAGCAAATAAAAGGCTAGCAAAAAAGTTATACGGGAATTGGTGATCTAAAGCTTTAATAAGTTTGTTCTCATAATGGATTGTATATATGATGAACTGAAATGTAAACCACCTAGTCACACAAGGCTGAATGGATTAGTCAGTAAATGTGTGCTTCTTGGCAGAACAGGTATTGGAAATGAGAAACAAAGGTAGAAGCATTTTAAGATCCACAAAAGATAAGAGAAAGGTAAAGAGAAATAAACATTTAAAAAACAACAGACATGTCTGCCAATAGAAATATGCATCTGCCCACATTATATAGGAGAGAGCTAAGGGTATGCCATGACCATAAAGATAAGTGGAATGCAATAGGAATGGGAGCATGTGTGCTTCAACATAAGAGAATCAAGACTGAGTAGAGGCTGAATGCAAAAACAGTATGAAAAAAGCACATTAATTAGAATCACAAAGAATGAATGAGAATGATTGCAAAACTAATACCCAAAGGAAAAGTGAATGGGGGGGGGAACACTATGCTTAGATAAAGCCAATGAATTCCTTTAAAAAAAATCTAAATCTAAAGAAAAAAATACTGTATTAAATGATGTATGAACAAAGAGTAACTAAAAAGAAATAAAGCAAATGGTGTCTCATTTCTTAACTCTTTTTTTCACCAGAAACTTTGAAGCTAGCTTTTAAAATGAACTTTCATTTACAACAGCATTAAGAGCTGTATATATGCCTGGAAGACATAAATCACCATCCTTGGCTATTAACAAAGGATCACAAGCCAACCCTTTAATGGTTTTAAAATAATTTTGAACTTAGCATTTTGTTTGTTCCCAGATCACAATTAAACTTGACAGTACAAAAATGTAAGATAGGATTAGAATCCTTGGTCCACCTAGAGGTAACACAAATTTGAAACTCAAATGCATGTTAGTAATAACTGATTGCTTTTCAATTTAGTTGGAAACAGTAGAGGGTTTGCAACATGTGAAAGTATAGCTAACTAACTTCCTTTTGTTTATTAAATTATGGATTAAGGTGTAGCTGGGGCCAGAGTATGGATGTACTTCAGATTGGTTACCAAAATGCTTTGAAAGTGTAGTAATATGTAGTGAAGCTTTTTTTATAAAAAAAATTAACTCCTGACTAGGCTAGTATTATCAAGAAGAATTTCAGAATTAAAAGAAGGGTACTGAAAAATCAATAGAAAACAATTGTCTGAAAACAAAATTGGGAGATTACTATAAAGCAAGAAGATATTCTCACCATCTCTCTGCCTTCTGCCCACTTTTTGTTGTTGAGAGAGTATTTTGACCCATCAACATTCAATGCAAGAATGATTAAATAGAACTGCAGATGTCTTAAGACACTGACAATGGAAAAGTGCAAGATTTTGAGTGGAATAATTAAATGATGTTGGGTGGGTATACTAAACTTGGAGGGGGTATTTTATTGTTTCTGGGCATCAGTTACTACTGGCAGCTAATTTGAAACTGAACTGTTCATTAAAAAAAATATCAGAAATAGTTGCATTTCAGGAACTCCACAGAGGTAGGACCAAATGTGAAAGTTTTTGTGTACTTGTTATAAAATCTTTTCCTACATTTCAGTAGCAGATATTGGCAGCACAAAATATTCATGCCACAACATGGCAGCATTTTAGGAGAATGGAGATAGTTTAGCCACAAAAAAGGCTTAAATATATGAGTGTTATAAAACTGTGAAACCAGTGCAGCCTCATCCAGAGGCTTTCTTTTAATACATGAGTTGGCCAGCAACATAATTAAATAATGCATGTAAGAGACAAAGACCATCAAAGCAAAGTCTATCAGAGCCATGAGCAGAGTTATACTTCCAAGTAATTTCTGAACTACATTATGATTGATCCTTGGCTCTTTATCGGGCAATTATATTTACCAGAGAAGAATATTCAAATTAGCCTAGAAAGAGAAAGGCGAATTTATGAAACTATTCTAGATTAACTAGCAATCACTGCTACTTCATAAAACTGAAATATGATGTAAACAAACTACCATCATTCTGTTTCTGGTTGGAAATGGTTTAAATCTGCCTTGAATGATAAATACCATCAGTGGAGAAACATAATCCATTTGGCTCCCAGTTCCAGCAAGCAAGATAGAGATACCGTAACTTTGAAACTAATGAAATTGCATTTGCTATAGGTTTTTTACACTATTGGAAACAGTGAGAAATAAATAAAGACAAAAGGTGGTTTTTTTAAAAATTTTATTAAATGCTTATGTTGCCCATCTCACCAGTACAGTGATTCTCGGCAGCTTACAAATAGTAAAAAGACCAATATAAAAAACATTTTTTTTTTAAAGTTATATAAAAAAAACTAGAACCCAGGAGTTGGATGGCACAGGAGTAAGATCTTCTCAGCTCATAAACTATCTCCAGTATTCTCCTTCAGGGCTTCAAGGCAAACCCAGGTTTTAATACCGCCTAGAAGGCCAAAAGGCATAGGCAAATTGGGGCAAGGCAGCTCCTCAGATATGACAGGAATATATGCCTGATCTCTCATATTTTGGATAACTGCTAGATATATGTGGTTATAACTTTTAGATAAATGGACTGGATAACATGGCTTTGAAACCTGAGATCATCAGGTTTTTATTCATCAAACCTGAATTATAAGCAGTAATTCAGGACAGAATAATCAGTAACAGCAGGTATTTTTTGAGGTTATATTATTCTATGGATTTATGTGAATACAACAATATTTGTGCTAATTTTTATGGTAATGCAAGTCAAAGTTTACTATGACAGACCACATCTGTCAGAAAGCTTGGCTCAGATTTCAGTGACAATGACTATTGTCACTGAATGGCTCATCTGAGACAAAGCTCATGGGAGTGCCAATTACAGGTGGCAATAAAGAGCTTTTTGAAACACAGTGCCAATGATGAGGTGTTTGTTAAACATGATAGCAACTGAGCTTGCTTGGATGATTGTCCCATCATCCACATACACTTGATTGATTTGGGGTTTGTCAGAAAGGATATCTTTGACCTGAAGGACCTGGAAGAAATCAAACAGAAATCAATTAGCCAGATTCTTGCATAAACCTTTGGCTAATAAGAATCCTGCTAGAACTTACCACTCTGCTATGCATCCTGTTTAAAAAAATAATAATTAAGAAACACCAGAAGACTAAATAAAACAGATGCTCTAGAATGAATTACAAAAATAATAACATAGTTTCAAAACATTTCAGTTATGATCCCTTACATCATTGTAAAAAGAGGTTCTCATGTTTCTCATACATGTTTCATGATGAAGAGGTAATCCTCAACATATGACCTGAACAGAGCCTGTAATTTTGGTTGTAAGTCATGACGGTCATATGGCTCTATGGTTTTTATAATATTTTTTTTTGCGGTGCTTGTTAAACAAATGTGGCCATCATTAAGTAAACCCATTACTTAATGGACATTTTTTGCTAGAAACTGAAAGTAATAGTTGGTTTCTGGCAAAAATGTTGCAAACACTGCTTTGAGTTCGTGAATTCTGGTAATGTCCGATACATGGAATAAGATAACCTGCTAGACTGGTTGAATGCAACTCTTCTGAAATTTTTCTTGTTCTATTTAAAGAAGCATTTTGATCTTGTTCAAATAACCTGTAGGGTTTTTTGTACCAATAATTGAAACTAAAATTTATGTTGCCAGAAAAACATTTGTTAAGTGAGTTTTGCCCCATTTTACAACCTTTCTTGCCACGATTGTTAAGTGAATCACTGTAGTTGTTAAAAGTTAGTAACATGGTTATTAAGGGTTATCATTGGGTTTGCTTGTCAGAAGGTCACAAAAGGTGAATGATCCTGGGACATTGCAAACCGTCATAAACACGGGTCAGTTGCTAACTGTCTGAATTTTGATCACATGATTATGCTGCAATGGTTGTGTGAAAAATTGTCACAGTTCACCTTTTTCAGTGACGTGCCTTTGAAGGGTCGTAAATGAGCTGTTGTATCTTGAGGACTACCCATATTCACTCTGGTTGAAAAATTATAGTGTACCTTGTAAAAATAATTCTTACTGACCTCTGAGCCAGGGGGATTCTTTGGATCATAAGAAAGGAGTTTTGCAGCATTGGGATGACATCCTAACCAGAGGTCTCCAGTTGTACGGTCAACTGATATGTTATCAAGGATAGTCTCCAATTTCAGGACCTACAATGAACAAACAAAACCATTAGGTTAGAAAGAAAATACAAGACATTTGCTGCACAATTTTATCAATCCCACCCCCCTTATTCTAAAAGCATCTTCCCATTGTTCTAGATACCATATGCAGTCAGGAAATATGTATCCTTCCTAATTGGCCCTGAATTATAACTCTTCTAGTCACAAAAGGCCCAATTCTGTTAGTGATCCTGAGTTCCCAGTATTTGGTCATAAACTTACCAAATGCCAATAGTATAAATTCACAGGATTATCAGAAGTTACATATTCAGAGAAATATATAATATGTCATAGAAGAGTGCTTACATTAAAAAAAAATTCAAGATCTAACTTTTGTTTCAGATATAAAGAACATCAGTCTTTGATTTGAACCAAAGAAAACCAAACTTACCTTCACAGGAGATAAATTCATATTAGACATTTTTTGAAAGACACGAATGCTATGATCCAAAATATCAGCAACGTAGATAAACCTTGAAATGAAATATTGTTAATTTTACTTATTTTATTTGTAAATTATTTGACCTTAATTCTATACCCCCGTCCCAAAAGGAAAAATAATCAATTAAAGAGAATCTGATAAAATGGCCAACTATAAAATCATTTGGTATAAATGAGTTGAAGGCTGGTGTGGTTGGGAGAAGACACTTTTCCACTGTGCCCCCCGCCCTGTGGAATAGCCTACTATTACGTTTTACAGTAAGAAAATTGTATTTCCATATTTCCAGTACATTCTAATCACATCTTTTAAAATGATTCCTAAAACAAATTTTATTTCATTATTACCACTCTGATTTCTTTTAAGGAAGTCTGTCCTAACATGATCGTGTTGACTCAAGATTACAGGAGTTGTAATTCAATATATTTAGAAGGCTACAGGTTGCACTAGATTAGGGAAACCATCCAACTATATTGCTAGCTTTTTCCCACTTAAAACATCAATTTTAAAAAAGAGATTAATTTTGAGGAACATCATTTGTTGCCTGTTAACTAACCAAAACCACAATGGATAACATCACCTAGTCAACCTTTTTTGATAAAGTTAAGCAATATTGATTAGATTTTTTTTTAAAAAAAAAAACCTTCACAACTCAATTATAGGAGGAGGGCCTTCTCGGTGGCAGCTCCGACCCTATGGAACGATCTCCCCGTGGAGATTCGTACCCTCACCACCCTCCAGACCTTCCGCACAGCCCTTAAAAACTGGCTATCCCGTCAGGCCTGGGGCTAAAGATTGCAACCTGCCCGAATGGTATGAATGTTGTGTTTTAATGATGTATTGTTCTATATGTTAAAAGTTTGTTCCCCCCCCCTTTTTAAGTTGTAAGCCGCCCTGAGCCCCCCCAGGGAAAAGGGCGGCATATAAATAAACTTAAATACAAATATATTATGTGTTCTCAAACTCAATGAGGAAAGCCCAATGTCATAGCGAATTAAATTAAGGAAGAACTGAGTTATTTTTTTAAAAAAAACTTACTTCCCATCTGGTGACATATTAATGCCGTTGGCACTGTAAAATCCTGATGCTACTTCTTTAACTTTCTTTGGGCTATAGTACACAACATTTGTCCAGGACAAACCCCAAAACATCTCCACATATACCGAAACAGTCTCTGAACGGAAGTAACGGTCATTGGTGGCATAGAAATGCTCAGGGCCCACAGCGAGAATATCGTTGACACTTAAGACAAAAATGAAAAATATAAAACATAATGTTATAAAGTTGCATTAGTTACTTTTTAAAATTTCTTATGAAATTTGCTCAATTGCACCGAAACTATTTTGTCGTCTAAACATAACCCAAGAACACAGATCTACTTGATAGGCTCTATCTGGCTTTGTGGTTTGCAGAAAAAAATATTTAAGAGTAAATATTGTTACAAAAGGTAAGTACTCATAAAGGGTCCAAATGAATATATTCCCCCAAAATCCTAAAGGTGAAATTGAGTGTAATAGTCTATGAAGAAAACATTATATTCTGATATAAATTGTCTCTTTGTCTGAGGATGATAGAATGTAACATGAAGGAGATGATTTAGCATGCCAACAGAAACTTCACAACACTGAGTAAGGCAGGCATGTTGTAAATATTTCCTCAGTAGTCTCAAATGTTAGATTCCCACTTCTGAATTAATACATTCAGTCCTGCCTGCCCTCCTCAGCACCATTTGGAAGTTTTGTAACACAACGTATTCCTAAGTAATTGTTTTTTACAATATGTAATTTGCTTTAGGTTCACATTGTAGCAACTAATAAGGAATCAACCTGACTCTTTATCTTACAATATTTATCGGTACTACAAACTTTTGGGGTTGTTTTTTTTTAACTTTCTATGCACACTGCTAAATGTACTAGCACTAACGTTTTATTGAACATATTATTTTCACATCCTTTATCTTTTTTTTACATTTTTTTATTTTATTGACATTTGTTTGATTGCTGTGAGCTGTCATTATGCATGTATCTATTTCATATCAACTCATCATTTCATATTCCTTTCAATCCTTTTCCAGATACTCCCTTTTCCCCTTTCCAATCACAACACATACTTAAAATATTTTTTCCCTAATATACCTTGATAGGAGCTCATTAGTGACAGTTCTTAAGTACAGCAAATATCTTTCTTCCTCAAAAAATTGAAATATCTCCACTGCTGAGTTGCCTTCTGGATGATTAACCACAAAGAGATATATGCTGTCATCTAGAAAATATGAATATTTGAGCAAAGTTAACACAATTCACAATCATAACATAAACATGTAGTTTTCCAAGTATTCAAGTAATAAGCTAAAGTAACTGTCAGTGTTTCACTCACCTAGTGAATCTATTAGTATGATGGATATAATTTCTTCTTTTTTCTTCATGCTACTCTAAATCTCTTCTAACCCTTAGTAGAGGTGGAACTACAAACCACCAAAATGAAAAAGCCCCCTTAACGTTTTCCTGAAAAAAGGCATAACGTATTAGGAGGCATATCATAATTTCTGCTGGGTTGCTGGTTGTAGGGCATACGTCTAGGCTCCTATTTGGCTGGACCTGATGTTATAACACTTTGGCAATTGTTAAGTGAATCACAGCAGTTATTAAGTAATCCACGATGATTAAGCAAATGTTGCAGCTGTAAATCCAAATTTGTGCTTCTGAATGATTTATTTTGGCTAGAAACTTGAAAAAAAGTTGCAAATCATAGTCACATGATCTTGGGGCATATTGCAAAGACAAATCAGTTGCCAAGTACCCAAAATGCAGTCATATGATCGTGGGGGAGTGAGGTAGAATGACATTTTACCATGACCAGAAGTGCATTATGGGCTGCAAACATCTGTTCTGGGTCCATCATAATTTCAAACAGTTGTTAAGCAACTGTTCATAAGCTGAGGACTCTCTGTACCAGATATATGCAATGAGGAATATTTTGCCTCTACTTTTGGCAAAGCCAAGATCATGATCACCAACCAAGGCTAACTCTAATCAATGTATAATCCTCAAGCTGCAAAGCTAACAAGAAGAAAATTAGGGTCACGCAAAAAAGTTCCTTTACTTACTCCTTTCCGTATATAAACTGATCCCATGAGGATTAAAAGTATCTATATCAAATCCACCTTCAATCTTCAGTTCAACTGGACGAGGACTTTCTGACATTAGGTTCATCAGTAATATATGCCCTCCTTTATGAGGTTCAAAGGTTTTCAAACCAGGATATTTCAGGCCCTTGAAATTGAAATGAAAGATGAATTTTGGTCAAATGACAATCAATATTCTATCAAAATTGCTGAGATTAAGGATTTCCCATGTGTTTTGACACCTTTTACCTGAAGCACAACAAAAATGAATGCAAAGTCCAAAGGTATTTTTGCAATAGTTCAGCTGATATTCCAATCTGCTCTTTCCCAGATAGTCTAGCTACAACAGGACATGTTCTGTTAACCTCATATTTAGGTTACTGTAATGTAATCTAACCTAGCAGAATAATTATTTCTCCTGGATTGTCCTAATTCAGAATAGTGCACAATTTTCTCCAGTTTTCTGTATAACAATTGTTACCCTAAAAGCCTTGATCAGTTTTGTCTTTCATATAATGACTTTTGGTAAAAGAAAGTGATTCCTAAATTATTAGCCACAAATATGTATCAATCACATGCAGCAAACATCGTAAAACTGTTGGTTAGTTTTGACACCTTGGTTATCAAAAACCAAGTTTTTGGCTAGTGCAAAAAGCAACCAAAGCCACATTTGCTTCAAGCATGCTCTAATAGTTTATACAAGCTAGCATATCTAGAGACTACTGCACCTCATTTTTCTTTTCTCTAGCTCCTCAATAAATGTTCCCTGCTTATATATTTATCTTGGCTCCACCCACTGCTTAGAATTCACATCCCCTTGTCATCCAAGTCAAAGGCAGAGATGCAATCCAGGGAACCTCATGAGTATTAGGAAATTGAGTCTGATTGAAACCATTCTGACAACCTTAAAGTTAATCCATAATGGGCATAATTTTTTACATTGGAGGAATAGAGGGAAATCAAGACACCAATGACAACTTACAGAGCTGAAGAAAGCCAATCCATTAGGAAGTATGTCAATATCTTCTGCTCCATTGTCTGCAAATGAAAAAGAGAAAGTGTGTTTATTGGAGATATTCAAACAAAGTCCTAATTCAGGGGAGAATATAGATACAGGTAGTCCACAACTGACCCCAAATTTTATGTTTGCAGTTGTTAAGTGAGTTTTGCCCCATTTTACAACCTTTGTTGCTACAATTGTTCAGTGCGTCATTGTAGTTGTAAAGTTACTAACATGGTTGTTAAGTGAATTTGTCTTCCCCCTTGACTTTGCTTGTCAGAAGGTCACAAAAAGTGACCACATGACCCCTGGACACGTAAGATATCAAACAATAGCCAGGCATCTCAATTTTGATCACATGATCATGAGGATGTTGCAATGGTCATAAGAGTGAAAAATAGTCATAAGTCATTTTTTTTCCTGTGCTTTGTAACTTTGAATGGTCACTAACTGAAATGTTTGAGTTGAGAACTAGCTGTACTGAAACCAGAGCAGTCCAAGTGTATCACTGTCTGACTGTCTCCCTCATGAAGTTGTGATTGCAAGACATCCCCAGCAGAGGTGGGTTGCTGCTGGATCAGCCCAGAGGCTCCACCCACCCACCAAGCCAGAAACATTGCGCATGCAAAAGAGTGCCCAAACAAGTGGTACAAAAATTAGCAACCCATCTCTGATCTGCAGTGCTGCTTCCCTTCTTATATATTAATGTAGCTTTATTAATGTATCAAGGAAGCTTTAATGACGACACCATACAGCCGTTGTGCAAGTGTGGTGGTTTCACAGCTTTTGCAAACATGGGTGTAGGTTTTGCATGTGGGCACATGCGTACACCTGTGAAGGCAGGTAACTAATGGCTTACTGGACCTCAAGGACTTGAAGGAGGTGAGCAAAAACATGAATGTATTTTGCTTAAATTATCAGGGAAAAATCAAGCCAGGAATTCTCTTTATTCCTTCAGGGATTGTAAAACAGATCAGAAACCAAGAGATTTTAAACTGTATTTGCTTATAATACACTGTGAAATTAATAGAAGAACTCCAAATTTAGGTTGGGCAAGGCAAGAGTTTCAGGAAGGGTAAATCAGCAACCAAGAGCTAAAAGTGATTTACATGAAATTTTGTTCTATGTTCTGTCTACCTATGAAGGTGGACTTGTGAATTGCCATAGAATACCTTAAACACTGCAAAGTAATTTATCTTTGCCTCAGTAAAATATATATTAACTATACAGACACTGCTATTGTAGTGCTTTTGAATTATTAATAAACCTCAAGAAACTATAGTTATAATTTTAATGCACTTCACTTCTAACTGTGACTTTAAATATACTAGCCAAAGCTGGCTGGGCCTACTGATCATATATTTTTTTATGGTATCTCTTGTTGTTGCTAAAGCAATTAAGCGTTTTAATAACAAATAGTTAAATATACAGGAGTGGAAAACTCTTCCAGTAGAATATGTCTTCCAATACAGTCAATTAATGCAGCTGACCTTGTTCAGTCTTTTCAAGAATATCTCATCCTGCCCACCCACAATTAATTATTCCTGTGCTGCAAGAAAAACTTCATTCTTTTGAAAAGTGTGTTTTTTATCTGCAGAGATAGAGAACAAGCTACCCAAGGTAAGTTCCCTTTTCTGCAACCAAAGGTTGCAAAATTTCTGTTGCTATGGAGATCCTGCAGAATAAGGAAAGGCCACAAGGAATTTGTTTAATCTTTGCCTGGGAAGGATTCATTTTCTGAAGCCCTGCTTCATCTTTCTTGTTTTGAATTATTGTCTGAATGGCACAGAAGTCATTTATTCTGTAGAGACTTTTGTGGTTGATTTCCATTTATGACCTTTCCAAGGGGCTTCCAGTCAGCGAAATCAATGTGAAGCTGGATTCAGTTAACATATGTGTAAATCACTTAATGACTACCGCAAAAAGTTGTAAAATCAGGTGTGGCTCACTTAAGGAGTGTGTCAATTAATGACAGTCCCAATTATGGTCATAGGTCAAGGACTATCTGTACTTTATATAAGACATAGGATGCTGCTTACCAGATAGCAGAGGCTGGCACAGTGCATGTCATATTTCCAACTCATGAAGTGCTGGAAAAGCACTGATTGAAACAATAACCAACTCAGAAAGTGGTTTGCTGAATGATAGTTTAGTTTTACAGACATTTAGTTGAACAAACCATTGGCCTGATTTGTGTGTAACTCCTGGCTGTGCATCATCTTCAAATTGAAGATTGATTTCAGAGAACTGGTTTCAAATATGTAGTCAGCCAGAAAGCTCATAGAGGGGTTTTTATGCTTTGGCTGACATTTCACAGACGGTAGTTATGAGGAAATATTGATGGGGGATGCTTCCCCCCTGCATTTTACTCTTTCCTCTGTGCAGAAATCTTTGAATAAAAATATAGTAAACATCTAACTGCATAGAAAGCAGAGCAACTGTATGTTTTCCTTAGAAAATATATAACCAGCTATTGGTGCATGTTCCCTGCACATATGCACAATTATTATGCACAAGGAACAACAAACAAATATGCCACAGACTTACCAATTCCTGGAATGAGTTCACAGTTGGGAAGGCGCTTGAGGGGCACTACTCTGTCAGCAAACAGCTTCTGCCTGCAAGGATAAGCAGTAAAACATGCTAAATAAAATGGACAAATAAAATTGGACAACGCACCACACAGCAAATCTAAAACTACTTATTGAAATTGGCTATGATGACAGAATCTTGCAGGTTTTGTGCTGTACCTCCTCATTACAGTTCAGTGATTTTAGGGACATTTGCTGAAATCACTTCAAGCAGAGGAATAAAACTAGATTTGTCCCCTTTTGAAAAAGTCTGGGCTCTGCTTTCTCCTACTTGTATGGGGGAAAAAATAAAACAATCTTAATGCATATAATTATCTTCATTAAATTAAAATCAAACAGATTAAAACATTCAGAATTAAAAAAAATCAAATAGAAAGTTCAGTAATGCTCAATAATATTATATGTGATTAGTATACAAGGAAAAGAATAAAAGCATGAAGAATAAAAGCATGAAGGCTCTTAGTATTAGTATCAACATCATTAATTAAAGCCTTTGGAATTCTCAATGCAAGTGAATAGATCATTTTGCTCTTGTGCTCGGGCTCCCTCCTGTGGCAAAAAGAAAAAAAGAATTAAAAGAGCGGAGAAAAAAATCCGATGCTTTTAAAAGCAATTTTGAAAATTAATTTCAGCCAAACCAAACAGTTAAACCATATGTGTCTCATAGGAAGCAAACTTAATTGTTCTGATTCCTTTTCTTTCTCAGCAACACAACTGCGTTACATTTTTTGGTACTTTTGTATAGAGTAACCTTTGCTAATTTTTAAAAAACGAGACTCTTCCTATGCATACACACTCTGGTTACCAGTTAATGCTCTTTGCCTAATGATATTAACTCAATAAATCTAGAAAATTGCCTTTGCCGTTTTCTCTACAATTTGCAACAAAAGCAGGTTACATTTGTTTTTTGAGTGACTTGGCTTTTGACTGTGACAACTGTGTGTTAATCTCTATTGCTCCTTGCTTCCCTTCTATATGGAATATTGGTAGTACAGTGATATATTAAACAGAGAACTATATTTGGAGATGGGAGGAAAGGAAATATATTTATTAAACACACAGGACATTCAGCAGGGGAAGCATCAAGATTGAATTTAGGTTCACAGACATTTGGCTCCTTTCCTTTATATACCTGTCACCAATCAATAGGGTAGAATGTTTTGTTTATTAGTTTTCCCAACACAAGCTGCAAGGAAAACTTTTTGACTGTCAGTTTTAAGTTTCGCTTTTGGGAGGGAAGTGCAGAAAAAGAACCCCATAATTATACAGTGCTTTAATTGCAAGCAATTGACATCTTAACCTTGAGTTCATGTCTCTGAATCTGTAATTGAAGAAATGCTCCCCCAGAAATGGCAACCTTGTGCTTGAAGTGGCTCCCTTGTTTTCACAGGGGAAGGAATGTCCGACTTAGCATCTCTCCCAGATCCTGGAATCTTGCTCTAGTTGCAAATGAGCATCACCAGAGAAAGGAATCCAAGTTCTGGAACAGAAGTCTTCAAACCTGGCAACTTTAAGACTTGTGATGATGTGCTACATTTTACACGCTTCTTCCCCATCACCCCCTCAGAGTAGGCTCAAACAGCGTTTCCTCACTGGCTCTCTTCCCTATTTGTTAGACTAAATTTCCTATCATCCCCAGCAAAAATAATTATCTGCCCAGAAAAGGCTGCTGCTTTACAGGCTTAGTTGTACAGTTAAAAACTGGAAGTAAACTCCTTCTTGGAGGCAAATTAATTCCCTGCTCTGGGCAACAGTGAAGCCCAACCCATGTAGAAAGTAAAGTTGTGAAATGCCAGCTATTACATTCTGATAAATGAAATGGCACAAGAAAACCACATATCAATAAACCACATCTGGCCTCCCATGTTCAGGATTGTGCGCACATGCAAGCATGTGCCTGCTTCTTTTTCCTCATTTCATAGACAATCTTGCTGGATGGTCTAGCGGAGATCAGCCTGAATGGAAATAAAAATTACATTAGCAATTGCACTTTTCAATAATCAGGAATTTAGATGAATATGCATGCATTAAGCCTTTCTGCCAAGATAGCAACAATTTTAATAATCATTCCCTTATAAACTTGTATGAAACCTGCATATTATTTATTAGTCACAAACAAAATATATTAATTTGAGACTCATTTTTGCAAAAGCAATAAATGGTCCTGCTTATTAAGAACAAAACTGTGAAACAGCCAATATAGTCTGCCAAAACAGAGAAATGCAGATGGGAAACTCACCAAGAGTCCGGAATGGAATGGTCCTCTCCACCGAATCCGGGGAAGAAATTGGGAAAAGAATAACTCTCAAAGGAAAAAGAAAACATAAAAATAATACTGAATTATGCTATTAAAAGCCACACTCTTGAGCTGGCTGCAGCAGCCGGGATGGAACACCTCTCAGAACTACTTAAAGAAGAAAAATTACAAAATTCACCCCAAATCAAGGACTGTTGTTAAATAAAAGGCTCTCCCATGCTGCTACTTTTGTCCAGCCCAATTTCTCAAAAACAAACTGAAAACAATTCCTTCATCTTCATTTCCGCCGAAGTCAAAATGTGAAAAAAAATGCAAATAACATTACATAAGTACTTCCACACCTGAAATGCTATAGAAACAAAATTGTTGTGGTCAAAAAACAACAACAAACCCTGCAAACATGAAATGATTTTTGTGCGTAGACACTATCCGCAACCTTACACACAGGGGCAGTGTCTACAACGGGATGCTGCAAGGATGATGAAAGACTCTCTGTAATGGGGGGGGGGGAACGGACTCCACAGACAGCGTTTCAAAGAAAAAAGCACCTCTGCTATAGTTTCAAATACACCACAACAGACCCAGAAAAAAATAGATACCTGCTTATGAGATTTGTTGCTGGGCTGGTATGAAGAATAGTCAACAATATTATAATTACAAACATGTGAAATCACAGGTAAAACCAGTTCTTTAACTAGATTATTTTTAATAATCACTGAGTTATTTTCAACCTAAAACATTGCAATGTGTTGGTATACTATGTTAATAATGTTGAGAAATATTGATCTAGATCAGGGGTCAACAAACGTTCGGACCTCAGGGACCACCAAATTCATAATTTTAAACCCGTGGACCACCAATATGAATTTTGTAGAAGTATTTAGTGCAATAAATACTATTAATAAATAGTATTTAGTACAGTATAAAAAATGCAAACAATTTTCTGCAGACCACCTAAATTTTCCCCCCGGAACACTAATTGGTGACTGCTGATCTAGATGGCTTTAGCTATAGGGAAGCCCCTGCAATTAAAAGCCTGGATTAAAATGATAAATTGCCCAGAACTAAATCCAAACTCACTGGACACCTTTAAATTCTTTTTCAATTGACAAACTACCCCGCAAAGTTGTGAGAATAAATAGTAGAACAAAGTGAAGAAAACTGCACCTGCCTTGCCGTCCTGGAAAAAAACATGAGTAACAAAAAAGGGGTGGGGGGGGGTGAGGAAGCGCACGTTTGTTCCAAGCCACTTAATAATTTCACAGCAAACATTACACCGCATTATTATTCAGATTTAACTTCTAAGTAAAATAAGCACAGAACGCACAAAAACAAGACAAACGCATTGGAAGGAAAAGCCAATTGAATGTATGGGAGATTTACTCTTGCGTCTTGTATTCAAACAGGTTGCAGCGCTAAAGACGAAAGAGCGGGGGAAATTGCATCTACGCGTATAACCTGCTCAAGTCAAACGGGAGAAAATCGCCGGAATTGGCACGGAGGATCTAGACAATTTCATACCGAAGCAACCCGGTTAAAATCGATGCTATACTTACCGAAATACGACGAGCCTCTCCACGAACAAAGCGCCAAAGATGATGAAGACCGTCAGCAATAGCATCATCTTCCCCATGGTGCAGCCTGATTCCGGTACTCACGAGACGAAAGGACCATCCACCGGCGAGCTCCGAGAAGAAATGCGGTCCCGTAGCTCTCGCTTGGCGTGATATTGAAGAACCAACACCGGAGCGCCGCCCTCCGCCAAGAGAACGCCCCGAGGGACACTCCCAAGTCCATCTTTCTACACCAATCATCACCGGAGCCGGGAGAGCTGGGGCGGGCGCTTAAAAAGTTTCCTAGAATTGCTGCTTTCTCCAAGGTAAGGTAAATATGAAGACCTTCTGGAATCGTGGCCCTCAGACTCCTGGCGACGTATTGACGCAGTTTTATTTTTTTTAAAGAAAAAACAGCTTCCCCCTATCTCCTACTGGGCTATTTCCCCCCACCCTTCACCCCAGATTCCCCAGTCTAGTTTGGGGCTCTTTTCACACCTCGGAACAAACATGTTTTATCACACTGTACTTCCTAGAATGTGTTGCAGCCATGATGCTGCCTCTAGGGACATCTTATCGATTGAGGTCAAGACAAGATGATCTTCCTGAGTCCCATGTACAGAGACAGCCAGGGTGGCAACTGAAATGTCCCTCATGAATATTTGTTTACCACAATGATAATTCTGGTATGAAATATGGGGAGAGGGAGGATGAAAAAAAATCCATCTATAATAAGCTGAATTTCTAGGACAATGGGTATTGCAACTTCTTGATTTAAAGGCGGGTGAGCACTTTTCAAAAGGAGGACTCGGCTGCAGCCATCTTACCCTCCAAATCATAAAAAGGCATCAGAATTGCAATGTTTAAGAATAGTGTTTGTGGAATAACAACTTCCCAACTTGTTATTTTTAATTTAAGCAATCTTAAAAATTAATTTGGGGTAGTGCACCTTGCTGGGTGCTAAGGAGGGGTTTGAGTGCTTTATGGACCCTTTATTGTGGACCACATTTTAGAGGATACAAAAGAGTTCCATGCAGAGTCTTAGCCTGTAACAGTCTTGCCCCCATTTGTACCTGCGTAGCCACTGCATAAACCAGTCCAAAAAACATCATTTTCCATTTGTCCCCATGATGTTACTGTCATCTCATTCACAGACAATAAGCCAGGAAATTTTGATTTGTGCTTAATCGTAATCTCCTTTACAGGCTGTCTTACGTTTATAACCACAATTAAGCCCAAAATGCTGTTTCTAAGTGAGATAGTTCTTAAGTGAATTTTGTTTCATTTGCTCCACAAACTTTCTTGCCGCTGTTGTTAAGTGAATCACTGCAGTTAAGTTAGTAACACGGTTGTTAAGTGACTCTGGCTTCCCAATGATTTTGCTTGTCAGAAAGTCACAAAAGGTGTTCACACGACACTGGCACACTGTGGTGGCCTAGCAATTAAGACATTGGACTTGTTGACCAGAAGGTTGCCAGTTCAAGACCCTGACAGGGTGAGGTCCCGTCCTTTCCCCAGCTTCTGCCCTCCTAGCAGTTTGGTTGGAAAGATGACAATGTTCCATGGGCCTCAGAATTATAACCATGCTGGCCACATGATCACGGAAGAATTTTCAGACACCATGGACTCCCTCAATTAGGAAATGGAGATGTACAGTGCCTCCTAGAGTTGGACAAGATTGGACAAGGGAAACAAAGCATCTGAATTTTGATCATGGGGATGTTGCAAAGGCCATAACTTTGAAAAATGGTCATAAGTCACTTTTATCTGTTGTAAGGTTGAACAGTCACTAAATGAACTGTTGTAAGTCAGGGACTGCCTGTACCTTTTCCCCCATTCATTACCTTGGATGGAAGGCAAGTTAGTCAATAGAGGCAACACAGGAAGCAGGAGTTTTCGTGTTAGTATTGTTTCCTGCTATTTTAGGAATGGTTTGGTAGCAATTCAGCTTAGCAGTGAGAAACATCTCACTGCTCCAGAGAACATCTGGAGGTGGGACAGCTATGACAACTCGCCATGGCCAACTCACCATGGCCAATTTGCTCTAATCAACTTGCCATGGCCAACTCACTGCCGGGCGGCTTACCATGGCCAACTTGCCATGGGAGAACTTTTGGGGGACAAGAGTATCACTAATATTGAAGAAATAGTGGAATAGAGGAATCATTAAGGAAAGGATGCCAAAGGAAGGACAAAATAAAATGTGAATGACAAAAAAAATTAAAATTTAAACATTATTTTAAGTAATTAAATTGAATTGTTGAATTCTTCCATAGTGAGTTGTCATGGAAAGTTGTCCCGCGGTGAGTTGGCTGTGGCAAGTTTACTGTGGCAAGGTGGCCGTGGCGAGTTGTCCCATTCCACCTGGAGGCTGCCATCTGATTTACTGTAATTGCCTTCACTTCGAAATTAGATGGGAATGGGGGCGGTGGAGGGGGACAAGAATACTTTCAGAATAAAACATTTTCCTTAGTGGGAAAAAGAGGGGGGGGATTACAGCAAAGCAAAAAAAAGTTCTTCAATATGTACAATTGTTACAATTTAGAAATCTAGCCAATGAACATTTCCCTAATCCAAAGGTCGCATAGTATTTGTTATCTTGTATGCTTTATCTGCTTTATCTGTTCATCTCAGTGCTTATTTTTATTGTAACTCTGTAAAGAAGGTTTTGATGAGCAGGTGTTTTTTTTTTTTTTTTGAATGACTCAGCAAGAATTTGAACCTAGGAGTTTTAGAACTAAGTCCCACACTGTCCATAAAATGTAACTGTTTCTTAAGTGAAACTTTTGTAGCCTGGTCAAAAGAATTCAAAAGAGTAAATGACAAGGTTAACTGCAATGTTACTTTCTAGAGGGAAAGTGAATTCAGGTAGTCCTCAATATAGGACCACAATTGAGCCCAACATTAATGTTGCTAAATGAGACATTTTACGACCTTTCTTGCCACCGTTATTAAGTGAATCACTGCACTTGTTAAGTATCATGGTTGTTAAGTGAATCTGTCTACCCCTTTGACTTTGTTTGTCAGAAGGTTGCAAAAAATGATCACATGATCCCAGAACACTGGAATCAATCAAACTGCTAGGATGTCACAAATACGAATCAGTTGCCAAATATCTGAATTTTGATCACATGCCCAAAGGGATGCTGTAATGTTCAAAAATGTGAAAAATCATAAGTCACTTTTTGCAACTTTGATTGGTTACTAAATAGCTGTTTGTATGTCAAGGAATAGCTGTACAGGTTTTTAGTTAGATGAACTTAGCTAGTTCATGCATGGCTTAATATGATACATGCAACATTTATGGCTGTATTAAAGGTCCAAGTCCTTTTCCTTTCAGTTAGTTCATTTGTTTATTTACAAAGAAAAGGGTGAGATGCATTTCTGCTGGTAAATCAGCCTTTTGCAATCTGATGGTTGAAGAGTCCCATGATATACATGTTCTAGTCTAGTCAAGTTACTCTTGAAGTTTTTGCAATGCTTTTCTTGCAAACTGAATCATTAATTAATTAGACACATGTTTAAGGCACTAATATTACCATTTTATGCTGTTAATTTATGATTCAATATTTTATGCAAATCCAGGGGGGTGGATCCATTGAACAACAGGTAACCCAGTTAACTGTATTGTGCAAGTTTCTGTCAGTTTCCATCTAATAGGTACTAACCTATTTTGCAGTGTAACTGGAAAGCTTGACTATAGCAAGATTCCCCGCTCCCAAACCCTTATCTCAGCACCCACTTCAATGAAGCTAGCTTGTCCTAGGGTCTTGCTTTTAGAACTGTGTGTACTAGATTGTGCTGTAAATATTAGATACACATGAAACAAAAATAAATGATGTTTGATCTTTCAGCTAGTACAAAATGTGCATTTGTATTCAAACAAATTCATATTCTATTATTCCATAGGATTCATGAGAGAATGTCCAAATTAAACAATTTGGTTTCTTCCACAAACTGTTATAGAATTGAGAAAAATATGCATTCTTTTATAAAGAGTGGAAAAATATTTGTCCTTTTAAATAACTAAAAAGGCTGAAGAAATATAATTTCTGCATATGAAATAGGCTGCCTTTTCCATCTGGTGCAAGAGATTGGAGCCAGTCTTGTTTCATGCTATAGTAGACACAGAAAGCATATTCAGCTCAGTGGTGGGTTTCAATTTATTTTACTACTGGTTTGCTACCGGTGCATGTGTGCGCTTGTGTGATGCTTTTGCACATGCCCAGAAGCATCCCTGCGGGTGGGTGGAACCACCGCTGCCATCACTACCAATTTGCCCGATCCGGGGCAAACTGGCAGAAACTCACCTCTGATTCAGATAGATAAAATAAACAAGTGATTTAACAGGGATGACAGGGATTTAATTTTTATTCTGTTCCCAAAGTCACTCACAGATATGTATCCTACTTCTTGTCCTGCATATGTTATTTATTTATTTTATTTATATCTCAGCTTTATTATTTTTATAAGCAACTCAAGGTAGCAAACATATTTAAAAAGTAAATATACTTTCTTCCTCCTATTTTCTCCAGAATAATCCTATGAGGTGGGCTAGGCTGAGAGAGAGAGAGTGATTGGTCCAACGTCATCCAACCAGTTTTCATATGTATGAGGAGACTAGAACTTAACAGTCTCCTGGTTTCTAGTTTGATGTCTTAATCACGAGATCAAACAGGGTTTCATCCAGTTAAAGTCCCAAAAATTCTTTATTCAAATATTTTTATTTCAGTCTTTGCTTCCTTTTTTGAGATGAATTTTGAAACACAATGTATTACAGGTAGCCCTTGACTCACCATCACTTGTTTAGTGACTGAAGTTAACATGGCACTGACTAAAATGACTTAGGACTGTTTTTCATCCTTACAATCACTGCAGCATCTTTTTTGGTCACGTGATCAAAATTCAGATACTTGGCAACTGGCATATATTTATGATGGTTACAGGGTCATTTGGTCACCTTTTGTGACTTTCTAACAAGGAAAGTCAATGGGGAAACCAGATTCACTTAACAATCATGTTACTAACTTAACAACTGCAGTAGACTCACTTAACACCTGTGGCAAGAAAAGTCATAAAA